GGATCTGGGGTGTCCTGGGTCATCTCTGGGGTGGTCCGGATGGTCTTGGGGTGCCTGGGGGGATCCTGGGGTGTCCGTGGGGCACATTGGGGTCTCTGTGGGGTGTCCTGGGTTGTCTGTGGGGCACCTGGAGGGGTCCTGGGGTATCTATGGGGTGCCCCGGGGTGTCTGTGGGGCAGCTTTCGGGTCTCTGTGGGTCCCCCTTCTCCTCCCTTCCCCCATTAAAGAATTTCTGGGCACTTTTGGGGACTTGGCCTCATTCTTGGGGGGGGGAGGGGCGTAGGGTCCACGATTGACCCCTGAGTGACCCCTGAGTGACTTTGAGTGACCCGAGTGACTCTGAGTGACCCCTGAGTGACCCTGAGTGACCTCTGAGTGACCCTGAGTGGCCACTGAGTGACCCCGAGTGATCCCTGAGTGACCCCTGAGTGACCCCAAGTGATCTCTGAGTGCCCCCTAAGTGACCCTGAGTGACCCCTGAGTGGCCACTGAGTGACCCGGGTGGCCCCTGAGTGACCCCGAGTGACCCTGAGGAGGGGGAGTGTGTTCAGCACTGCTGCTGGAACGGAGTGGCCCTCTCAGGAGGATCCTGGTTTCTTCAGGGCCTTACTTTTGCACTGGTTTGTGTCCACAAAGGAAAGGCATGCAGAAGGCAGCACCATCACCCCAGCCCTGCAGTCAGGAGTCCATCAGCTTTCCCCACAGTGAACGTGGTTAAGGTCTCCTTAACCAAAGGAAAACTCAGCACCACTACAGATGTACAGAACAGCAATTTATCCACTCCGACACACTTTGCCCATTATGTGTCCAGAAGACTCCAAGTACTGACTTTACACATCCACAAGCGTGGCCAAAGCCACACATACAGAGCAACACCAAGTTCTCACTGTGTACCAAGAGAAACAAAGATGTAATAACATTATTTCTTAGACAACTGTTGGGGATGAAGTCAAATGTAAAGAAAAAATGGAAATGTAAAAAATGATGGACGTTAGTGCACACGGATACAGAGTTTCTGCTTTTGAGCACCGCAGATGCCTGGGGAGGGAGTGAGCAGGGCACTGTCTGTAAATAGCAGGGAGGGGTGAAAGAGCGTTAAGTGTGTAAAGTGACACGGCTGGGCTTGAGCGGGGACACGGCCTTAAGGAAATAATTCCTTTTTTTGTCACTGCTGCACTGAATTTCATAGGCGTGTGGCTAGATGCCTAATATATTTAAAGCAGGTTTTATTCTTACAGGTGTTCTGCACACTGAAGTGTGTGCCCAGTTTTTGCTTCCAGACGTGAGGTATAGTGCTGGGTGTTTAATTTGGTATGTTACTTCTTCTGTTGTGTAAATAACTGCAGTGTCCTCCCTGTGCCTGTGTATTGCAGGGGGAGGCGAGCACTGGTTATAAAAATGGTGATAATTAGGAATAACCTATTAAAGCTGGGATAAAAGGTTCGAAATCATTGCTTAGAGTACTGCATAGATGTACCAGAAGTAACTACATCCTGGAAATGCTGTGTGTCTGAAACTGTTTCCACCTACTCATTTTTAGCTCCTTTTTCTGACTCTGCTCCTATTCCAACAGACCCGTCCGAGCCTGACGTTCGCTAAACGCCTCCGCGTGGTGGGAGACAAGTCTAGGAAGAAATACCTTCAATCCACCGACGAGGCAGAAAGGACTCAGCTCAAGGAATACTGCACACAGATGAAGGTAAAGTCCTTAACAGTCTATTTCTTCCCCATAACAAATAATTCATTAGTGTATTCCTGGCCGTGCGCTGCAAGGCACGTTGGAAGGTACAGGTGAGCGACGCTTCCGCTCGCGTCGAGGCGCACGCACGCGTTCCTCGTGCACCTTCTCCCTGCCTGACACGAGCTAACAGAGTCTGCCGAGGTGTGCCTGACAGGTGGTGAGGGCCAGATCTTTGTTGCCCTCATTTCAGTGAAGGAAACTCCAATTTCTTCTTGTATTTAGCACCACACGTGGGTGTAAAGTTCAGCTGCCACGTGCCAGTTGAGGATTGATTTGGTCAAGGAGAGGAATTTTTGCCTAGGAAGATTTGGCACTCCAGTTTCTCTTGCATGGCAGAGGCCACCCGAGATCGAAATGTTGCAATAAGTGTCTTGAGCTATTTCCAATCTGTTCTTAAAAATGTCTGTCTGCAACTGGAGCGATTCTGTGCCTTATCCGGAGATGGTGCATTCTGGCTTTTCAGCGTGCACAGTGACGCTCCCGAGTTTTAAAGTGTCGATCTTTCTCTCGTAGGTTAAGATGGGCACAGCTTTAGGTGGCCCAGAGCCTGGTGTTCATCTCAGAAGGAGGGACTTCATTTGGTCACAGAGAAGACGTGGCTTCCCTGCAAGGAGCAGGAAAGATAATCCACAGCCTCTCGGGGAGGCTTAAACTTGAGTAAGTTTTTGTAGCCACCGATGCTGTCAAGGAAGGTAGGCAAATTGCAGTCACCTGAGGACTGGCAACTTTTCACAATGAGCACAGCAAGTGCCACTGGTAACTTTTCTCTAAAAAATCCTTTTTCTGTTTCTCTGTTTCTGCTGCATCTCTTTTGTATTTTTGTTTTTATTCTTGGATCTCTCAGCCTCCTTTGGATTGAATTCTTTTGGGATCCTCCCTCGTGGGGAGCCCTGCTTATCTCAGTTCTTATGATTTGAAGAAAACTCCCAAGCTCGTTAGAATCTTGTTTCTCGTGTTTATTAAAAGGTCATCACAGAACTTCTCCAGGCTGGCTGCACAAGGTTAATCTTTGCAATCTGGTACATTTCTTTCTTCTGACAGTACAAACAAGGCCTTGCGGCACACTTTGTGTCTGATGCACAGAATGGCCCTGAAATACGCAGTTCTTTCATCTTTATACCTATTTTTACCCAATTAACAATAGACACATATATTATTTTTCTTAATGACCCAATGACCCATCACCTCGGTGATGCACTAAGGCATTCTCTATCCAATCACTCACTACTACCCAAAAACCTACAGGAGAAGAACATGAAGAAGAAAGAAGGGACAAGAGACAACACTGTAAATCCTCCATCTTGTCTCCTGTTCTCTAAACTAACTTTTTCACCCAGTGATTTAAAAAAACTATCTACACACACTTTTAGCTTTTTCTATCTAACTTTAATATTTGTTTTCATGTATCACCATGAAAACACGCTCATGAATTTCATATAATATGAAATTCAGTGTTTTTCTGGATCTTATAACTAAGCATCAGAAACAAGGGCACGCACTCTGTATTCCAGACTCCAACATTTGCCCCTCTATTTGAAAAAAAATAAAAATATCAACCCAAACCTTTTCTTTGATTAATTTTCACAAAGGGTTATTTCTCCTTCACTCATGCCCTACGCACCAACAGAACTGCTGCTCTGCTCTACAGAGCACTCTGCCTCCAGTTTTGAACATCAGTTAACTAACCACTCAAAGCTAGAGAAATAGATATAGGTTGCTTACTTAACCAGTAGCTTAATTTGTCTAATTGCATTAAAGTTTCTGCTGAAGCTACTTGAATTGAAAGCTGAGTTGTTATAAATCTCTATCAGAAATTTCATGAGTCAAACTCTTCACAATCAGGTGTGACTAAGAGTGATATAAGGTTACACTAAGATGTTGCCTCTT